CAGGCTGGTCTCGAACTCCTGACCTTGAGCGATCCACCCGCCTCGGCCTCCCAGAGTGCTAGGATTACAGGCGTGAGCCACCGCGCCCGGCCCTCTCTCAGTTTTAATTCTAAAAAATGGCTGCTTAGAACCTAGAGTTTTAGAGTAATAGTTGGAAGAAAGGATTTAGCAGTTTTCAGATTAAGAGAAAACAATCAAATTTTAAAATAAGAAAGTTTAAAAATGAAATAAAGTTCCCTTTTTCTTCCTCTACATATTTCCCAGAAAAAAAGTTCCCTTTCATGTTTTCAGTATCTAATAGTCTCATGTTATTTCCCCATTTATTTACCCTCATTGCTTTGTTCAATAACAATTTCACTCTTTCCCAAAACAAGGAATATCTACCTTTATTTAATAATAAGTTTTAAATATATGCTAATAGTTCTACAAAGCAGGAAGTTAGTTTAAAGAAGAATTATCCTTTACTCACCATTATCTGGCCCTTGAAACTTCATGGAATAAAGCTTAACAGGTTGATTAAATGCCACAGTAATAAGTAGCTGGGGAGAAAATAGTATCATTTTAAAATGGCTCTTGAACACCTCGAATACACAAACCACCAAAGCAGAATTAAAATAAAGGCAAAAAAAAACTAATCCATGTAACAAAACCAATGTGATATGGAAAATCAGTAAGTTGAAAGTACTTGTTAAATCAACATTTGAGAAATATCACCATCAATTATTTATACAAGGGGATAGCAAAAAAAAAAAATTTAACGGAGTAAATACTAAAACTGTGCATAAGAACCTAAGGTCTTGTGACCTATAAAATGGCAAGCAACCTACTTTCTAACAAATCAAACAAAATTCCCGAATTAAAATAAAATTTAAACCATATATTTTAGCATATAGCTCATGTTTTCTAAGATGGTTTGTCAAGTATCTAGCCACATCACTCAACAATTTGTAAGCAACTCACAAGTTATGCAGAGAGATTAGCTCTAAAATGGACTCTGACCCAAAACTCAAAATAGGAAGACGCTTACAGCTCTACACTAACCTCCAAAACTCCATCCTACACTTATTTGACTAACTGAATCTGGAAGGCCACAAAAGGGAACTGGGATACAAAACACTGTTAGAATGCCTATCTTTCAGAAACTGAGTTATTCGCTCAATCTTCTTTCCAGCCAAAATTGAATCTGAGGTAGAACCGATGTTTCTACCCTGGAAGGAAGATTTCCCTGGCAGGAAAATGTCAGCAAGGCTGTAGCCAGTCCTGCTGACATGCATCATCACATTATTTTTAGGGCCTAATTTATAAGGAACACAATGTGAATGATAGCTGTACAATAGGCAAATGTACAAAGCTGTACAATAAGGCAACTCTGGTTAGAGCAAAGAAAGACAAGGGTTGGATTTCTGATTTCAGAATAATAGTGTGGTCTGTCTGCCTAAGAAAATAACTGAACTATTTTCTTTGGTTACACCAATATTTTTTATACTTGATATGTAATAGTGTGTCAAAAAATAACAGCCATGATGTTTAGGGAACTGAACCACAAGTGAAGAGCAAGAGATGAGACTGGAAAGCTAGAAACAGATCAAGTCACCCTCTTTTTGAAGCCAGAGAAGAATCATTTCGCTCTCTTTCTAAGAAACATTCAAATTTATATTTTAGAAAAATAACTTTTGTGATTATGTAGAAGATCAACCAAAACAAGGTCAAATCTGAGACAATGGAATAGAAAGTAAGTTATGGAAAATTACAGCCAACATGAAGATAAAGATGGCTTAATTAAGGAGGTAACAACCTACTTCCACTGTGACAAGGGCAATGCAGGGAAGCATAAGGAATACAACACAGCTTTATATCTGGGGGCAAGGAGCCCCCCATACAGGGAGTGCTCATCTGATTAGTTTCTATTTCTCAGACATAAACTTATCTGGTGGGGAAAAAAGTATGGAAGGCAGGTCAAGGATGAACAAAAGGATCAAACAGTAGTAACAGCTCAACTCAGCAGCGGAGCCAATCCAAGAGTTCTGCGATTTGCCTTAGTACACTTGGCAGCCCGCATAGAAGAACAGAGAAAAGAGGCGGGGATGTATATCCAAAGGACAGGAGTCAAAGAAACTAAAAGTTATAAAAAGAAAAGGAAAAAGTGATCATTGGGGAAGGAGAGACATAAGGGAATGAGAAAAAGAAACAAGAGCAGGCATAAATAATGATAGTCCCTACACGCTTTAACTTAAACATTCAATACCTGTTCATCACAGTCAGACTCCAAGAAGCTCATGTCTTTTCGTAAACAGTTGTCAAATCCATGCTCATCACTTTCATTAAGACATTCACAACCGGATTTGTTAATAAAAGGCATTAAATCCATCTGAAGAAAATTAAATCAAAATTTCAGGCAAAGCATTTGGAATTGGTATAAAAATGTTAATAAAAATTTAAATCTGTGATCCTCTCTAAATTAGGCAATTTTAAACAAAACTTTTCTTTTAAAATAGTTCCCAAAACTTTTGTAATATCCCTTTCGTTCGACTTTCTGAACATCCACCACTAATTATTAAAGTCAAATCTAGTCTTGGCCTACTTGATAAGGTATCAGAAACAAGTCTTTACGTAAGATTATAAAATGTTGACATATATTTTTTATAGCAGTGTTTTACAATAGAAAATACGCAAATTAAAGTATCTATAAGATCCAAAGAAGTGCTATTTCCCTCTCCTGGCAGCCATGGACTCTTTAAACCTATAACCACGAAGAGGTTAGATTTAAGATGAGTAACAAATAGGAACTCAAAATTTTTTTATTATGAAAAATTTTAAACATACATAAATAAATATAGCGAACCTCATGTATCCACCACCCCCAGCTACAATCATTATCAACTCACAGCCAATCTTGTTTCACCTTTACCCAAACATATCCTAACCCTTCTAATTACTCTGAAGCAGATCTTAGACATCTTTTCCTTTCATTCTTGAACATTTGAGTTTCTAAGACATAAGAATTTTCTTAAAAAAGAACACATCCTAAATATCATTATCAAAACTAAAACAATAACACTTTAATACCATTAAACATCACTGTTCAAATTTCCTTAACTATCTCATAAATGTTTTGAGTTGAAATAGTAGACTTAGAATAAAAATCCCAAAAAAGCATAAACATATATGGCTAATACATCTCTTAAATCTCCTTTAATCTATAGTCATTTAAGCTTATAGATTTCTTAATAGTTTGGCTTATACTTCCATACTTCCAACACAATGTCAAAAAGTTGTGGTGTTAGTGGTCATGATCGTTTTGTTTCTGACTTTAGTGGAAATGCCTGTAGTGTTCCCTATTTAGATTTAATTGAATGCTTTCGGAGTAAATGGGTGCTGAATTTTGTGAAATGCCTTTTCTGCATATTTGGAGATCACGATTTTTCTCCTTAGCTCTACTAATGTGACAGATTATATAAGTGAACTTCCTAACATTAAACATTTCTTGCATGCTTGAAATAAATCCAATTTTGTTCATGATGGCTTTTTAATGTACTACTGAATTGTTGAATTTTTTTTAGTAAAACTATATTTAGAATGTTTACACCAATATTCATAATTGATACTAACCAGCTACTAACCAGTAGCTTTCTTTATTGGTGCATACTTTGTCAGACTCTGGGACCAATGTCATACTTATTTCAAAATGAAATTTAGAAGTTTTCTGTTTTATTTACAGTCTTAAGTAGTAAGTAGTTGCAGTAACACTAGGTTACCTGATCCTTAAAGATTTGGCAACATTTACTTGTGCAGTCATATGGGCTTTTATGGAAGAAATCTTTTACTATTTCCTCTATTTCTTTATGGTGATCGGTCTATTTAGGTGTTCTGCTTCTAATGGGTTTGGTAAATTATAATTTTCTAGAAAAGTATCCATTTCATCTACTAAACAGGGATTATTTTGAAAGTTTACCAAGTATTACAGATTATCAGACCCATGTCCTATCACAAAGGTTCTTCATTATTTTTATAAAGACACTAATACATATGTACATAGTTCTGAAAGACTGAAGAAAACATTTTTACATGTCAAATAAATATCAAAATGTTAATAATCATTAGTATAGACTTCTAAGTATTCACAGAATAGCCTAAACGCTTTCAAAGCCAAACACTATACTAAATGTATTATTTAGGTTACCATATTTAGCCAATTCAAAAAGAGGGGAGGGAAGAAATAAAGGCTATAGGAGCAAAGTTCTACTGTAGTAGAATCATTCTGAGCATCGTGAACATTTGCCTTAAAACGGCAGTTTTGACAAAATCTTTTACGTGTTTATGTCTTGCATCCTACCTAGACGCCACTTCAATACTACATCTAAGATTAAGATCCCAGGCATGAAGACATTACAGTCTGACTTCCAGTACCTTAATGATGAAAACAAGCTAAGTGGATAAATTCTTTAAAAAAATAATTTTTATTTTTATTCATTGCAGACCACACAAAACAAGTACCACATTTAAACAGCCGCGCTAAAGTACTTTCTTATACAACACTGTATGGGACAAACTGGCATTACATTGCACATTTGAGATAATTGTGAACTGTCATATTCTGCAAACATTTGGTAAGAACTAATTGTCACTACCTATGTAATCAACTTGCCAAATATGAGAAAAGAATCATGAGAAAGCAATCAGATAAATCCAAATTGTGTGAGTCTATAAAACACATAGTCCAGACCTGCGCTGATCAATATGATAGCCATTAGCTGCATGTAGCAATTTAAAATTAAATTAAAATTAGATAAAATTAAAAATTCAGTTCCTCAATTGCACTAGTCATATAACTAATGTTCAACAGACACATGTGCCTAGTAACTACCATATCATTAGATTGGCACTGGTTTAGACTTTGAAAAAGTACAATCATAAAAGAAAAAAAAGGTAGAGAAAAGTTTCCAGACTAAACATGAAAGAGAACTGACAACTTAATACAGTGCTTGATCCTTAATTTGATCCTACTACATGGGGAAGGACATTTTGTCTGAATGTAGGAAATTAGAGATATTGTATCAATATTAAATTTGTTGGAGTGATAACAGTATCTTGGTTATACAGGAAAATATTCTTGTCCTTAGGAACTACATGCTTAAATATTTAGAGATAAACTATCACAATATACATCACTTACTTATAAATGATTCTGCAAAAGATAAAAGTAAATAGAGTAAAAATAGGAAAATATTTATAATCGATGAACATAGGTGAGGGGTATACATGGTCTGTTATACTATTCTGTGTGCTTTTTTAAAAAATAAGTTTAATTCTATTTGGTAGGGAGGGAAGAAAATCCAACATAAGAAACATAGGAAAGTTAGAAAAACCTTTCCAAGTTTGTGGCTCAAGAAAGGTTTGTCAACTTACTGCACAAATTAGGGTTATATAATAAAGTTTGATTTTATTTTGATGAATGTTGACAAATTTGTAGACCAAAACCTATAGTTCAGAGGTCTAGTGTGTTAAAATACAGTAACAAGCCTAAAGATTCAGAAGACAAACCAGCATAAGTTCATTTCAACAGTGGCAAGCATTCAAACTTTTAGAGAGAGGAAGATTTGACTTAGTGGGCATGGGGATAGGGGTAGGCTATGTGAAGCTATGTTCTGTATGATCTACTCTTAGCAAATGCGGGGGAGAAAAGATATAATGTTTTAAATTTTTCCAAACTTCAATAAACATTTTTAAAAACTAAAAGTCCTTATGCACAGTAGGGTGACTACAATTAGTAATTTATTATTTATTTCAAAGTAGCTAGAAAGGAATGTTCTCGACACCAAGAAATAATAAATGTCTGACATGATGTTCCCCTGATTTGGTCATCACACAGTATATGCATGTTATCAAAATACATATGTACCCCATAAATATGTACAATTATTATCAACAAAAAGTCACATGTTAACACACACTCTCTTCTGAATAATAATCTATTATAATTCTACCTTTTGAGTATCATACCTACATCTTTTGCAATATCTTAAACCCCCCCAAACAGATACACATATTTCTCTTTTTAAATTAGAGTGAATTAAAATTACTCAGTCTTAAGAATTTTTAAAAGATTTCTCATACCTTCTTAATCTGGCCCCAGTCAAATCAAGAGTTTTAAAACAAAAGGATGTATAAAACCAACAATTGCATAGCCTCTGGGTGTTAAAAAAATAATGACTGAAACTCTTTATTCCAAGAAATCCACAATTTTATAAAAGATTGTCAATATATTTCTGCAATGCTTATGGTTAAATCTACCTAAAACAAAGGTTTTCATCAAGTGACTCTTACTTCCATCAGGCTTCTATTTATGTTCTAAGAACAATGATACTCTTGGGAACACATTACCAGTTTTAAATACTTAATAATGCTATAAGATGTAAATAATTCAAAACTTTAATGTCTTGATGGACACCAGACGGGAAAAAATGAAAATGTTTTTACAATAGCTTTTCATATTTTATCCATAACATTTGCATGAAAGCTAAATTTTTATTTCTTAAAACTTCACATTTCCTGCTTGTTTCCTACCTGAGGCCAAAACAGATATCATACTTAGCTGATTTATAAAGTATCCCTATAGCTAAGCATCAAGACTGCTGTGCTCATAACACATTTTCATGCAAACACCCTTAGTAATAAAGGAAAAAAATAAAGATGTAAACCCAATAGTTTATATGCTAAATGATTTCCAAAACTTTCCAAAAGGTGTCACAACCCTGACTTAAATTCTTTCTAATTGGATATAACAATTATAGGTCTATTTTAAATAAATACTAATTGTACTTCCCTAACTTAAAATAATTAATGCCAGTATCACATTATGACACTTTTTGACACCCCACCCCCTATACACAAAAAGAATCTCTTACATCAACTGTACTGTCATTTCTCTTTATCCAGCATGAACTTAAAGGACTTACAGAAAGGATTTGTAGCCCCAGGAGATAGATCTGCTTAAATATATTTAATAATATTGTTTAATATATTAGCTTTAAGGTGAGGTTAACATTTTTTTTAAAAAATTCATTCTTTGATCTGCCAGTGCAATAGCTTTTTAACCACAAAATTAAGAAGTATGTATATTTTAGCATGCAGGATTTACCAATTTGTATAAACAAATCTGCTACCATGAAATAGTACTTCCGAATTTTGCTTCCTTCCTGAAGAGCTCTCAAATGATAAAGATGCTGCATTACAACTATTCATACTATGTAGTTTTCAAACACTATTCTTTAAGTTCTCAAGTCGTTAGGTTATTATTTAGAATGATAACGTATTCTTAAAACTTAGGGTAACACGTGTGACACTAAAGTCATATTTGATTCTAAAAAAGCAAAATCAATATTTAGACTTTTTTTAAAGATAGAGTACCAGAAAACAGGGATACGTTTAAAAAGACAAGAGAAAACTATAGGAAGTGAGTGGCAGCAAAGGAAGTTCTGTGTACAATAGTCACAACTAAAATCTACAAGTCAGGCCGGGTGTGGTAGCTCATGCCCATAATCCCAGCAATTTGGGAGGCTGGGGTGGGAGGATCTCTTGCGCCAGGAGTTCAAGACCAACCTGGGCAACATAGCAAGACCCCGTCTCTACAAAATTTTTTTTAAAAAATAGCCAGACATGGTGGCACAAGCCTGTAGTCCTTGTTACTTGGTAGGCTGGGCAAGAGGATTGCTTGAGCCCAGGAGATCAAGGCTGCAGTGAGTTATGATCTTGTCACTGCACTCTAGCTTGGGCAATAGAGCGAGACTCTGTCTCAAAAAAATAAATAAAATTTAAAAAATAAAATTTACAAGTCATTTTACATAATTATCAAAAAGTAGAAATTTTTTCCAATGCATGTTTCTTCACTTTTTATGAAAAAAAGTATAAAACAAGCATTTAAAAATGGCTATCAAAATAGTTCAAAAAGCAGATAAAAAATAAATGGCAAAGAAAATTAGTAGGAAAAATTTAGAAAAAAATGTGTTATGATATTATGATTAACACACACAGACAACAAAACTCAACGGTCAGCTAATAAATTTAGTTTGAAAGTTCTTATTTGAAAGCATTCTGAACTAATAAGAGATAAAACATGAAAACATAGTCAATTTCATTTTAACCAAATAATGACAGGTATAAGATATTATATCATGATTTCACTTTTCAGTCTACATACATAGCCTTTTGGAATATCGGTGTCCTCATTGCTTCCAGGGTCATTTTCTAAGTGCTGCTTGATTTTTTCTTCTAATCCCACAGCATCTGCTCCTTGATATTGATCAATTCTTACTTTGTTTCGGAAAAACAAAAACGTGGGTGTTGCTGATATATTATTGGTGGCAGCTGTTCCCTAGAATTGGCAAGTTAGACCGTATTATGAATTAAATCTTAAACCACTCTGAATATTCATTCTACACCTTCATGGAAGTTAAATATCACAAGCATGAACTAATACATAAAATACTGTATTCTCAATTGTTATTTAAGAAAAAGTAGGCCTATTCCTAAGAGAGTTCCTATTGAGGCATAGATATATTACCTTTATACCCCAATGAATATCCCCTACATTTTTATCAGTTTTACTGGTAAATACTTCATCCCATATAACAATTAGCTTCCAATACAGAAACTGTGCTTTATACCAGACAGCTCTCTCACAATTACAGAGTATTTCTCACGAGTAACCAAGAAGTGTATTGATAAGTCAATACAAACCACTTATTAGGAAAAAGCATACATCTGAAAAACAGTAGCCAGTCCGCCAGTGAAAAGTAAGTAGTATTTTCTGCACTGCAACCCTCACCCAATTTTTACTCTTACAGAAATAACATCTGATCACTCATCAAATTCTGCCCTAGCTCCACAATTTAATAAGACTAACTACTGAATGGAAATTACCTAATAACCATTGAGTATTCTGGTTTAAACTTTTCATGACAAGTATAAACAGTAAAGTAAATGTGTCACCTTACATATTCATATACTATGAAAAGGTACCACTATCTTTTTTAAGGAAAAAGAATGTAAAGAAAACATAGGAATGTCTTCTCTAAACCTCATAATTGAAAAAACTATTACTGACCTTTTAGAAAAGTGTTATCCAAAAGAAATATAATGTAAGACACATGTGAGCTACATATGCAATTTTAAATTTTCTAATATTTGGCCTGGCATGGTGGCTCACAGCTGTAATCCCAGCACTTTGGGAGGATGAGACAGGAGGACTGCTTGAGCCTAGGCATTTAAGAACAGCCTGGGCAACAAATAAGATCCCATCTCCAAAAAAAATAAAAAAAATTAGCCTGGTGTGGTGGCACATGCCTATAGTCCTGGTTACTTGAGAAGCAAAGGCAAGAGGATTGCTTGAGCCCAGGAGTTTGAGGCTGCAGTGAGCTATAATGATGGCACTGCATTGTAGCCCAGGCAACAGAGCAAGATACTGACTCACACACACTCGCCCTCTTAAAAAAAAAAAAAAGTTTCTGGTAAAAAAAAATGATTAAAATCAATTTTAGTAATACTAATGAATCTAATACATGCGTTTTCAACATGACCAACCTAGAAAAATAATGCAATATTTTACATTTTTTCTTTCATATTAAGTCCTTAAAATCTGATGTGCATTTTATACTTTCAGCCTATCTCAATTTGGATTTGCCACATTTACAGTGCTCAGTGACCACATGGAGCTATTGGCTACCCTACCAGCCAGCAAAGCTAAGGAAGAAAGCATTTTCAGATAAGAGATAGTGAATATTTAAAATAAGGGCTAGTGATGCAGTCCAATAACACGTGACGTAAGTACTGAAACATAAACATGTAATGAAGGGTTTACACCAAATCACCAAATTACTAACAAACTACATAATATTTTAAAATTTTTTCCACATTCAGAAATGTAACAAAGATCACATTTCTACATATGCAAATACAAAACTGTGACATACTATTCCACCTAAGTAATCTGGGCAATTTACCTACAACAGTGTGGCTGATCAACATTTTAAAGTTTCTGCTCAGTATGCAGCTTTGGAGATATAAGAGTATAAACCAATCAATTCAAATCAAACTATCACCAAGAATTCCTTGCCATGGCTTTATAATCAGCCAATGCCTCAGAAATATAAGATATAATTCAAGATTTGCAAAAGATAAACAAAGAGAGTAAAACACAGAACTGCCAGATGACCTGTTAGTTTAACATATTAATTTTATATCAGAAGGATATTAATACAAACCTGAAGCAATTAATAATGTGCTACCCTTCTTAACTAATGTAGCCATAATGACATCTGTAATGATCATGTCAACATAACATCTTCCTATCTTTAAAGGAATAAATACTATGCACATAAAGACATAAATGAAGGATATTAATGTTAGATTTCAAAATGATTTAAAAGTAAATTAAAAAGAAAAAAAAGACTCTTTTCCCTTACCTGACACTGATGTACATCTACTTCCAAGAAAACAGCCTGTGGATATTTATTACTCATAGAATTGAATGCTGGGGCAATCCTCAAACATGGTCCGCACCTGTGAGAATGAGAAAAGAGACATTAAGTAAAATAACACGAAAGATTACACTAATTTATACTCTGAAACATTTTTCAATTAAAACATAAAACACACACTGATACTCCTGGCTTTCAACTGTCCAGTCTTTTCCAAGGGGTTATTTATATACACATGTATCAATACCACATTGCAATAATAAGTAAACATATCATTAATATATTAAGTCAGGCTGGGCACGGTGGCTCCCATCTGTAATCCTAGCACTCTGGGAGGCCGAGGCAGGAGGACTGCTTGAGCTCAGGAGTTCGAGACCAGCCTGAACAAGAGTGAGACCTGTCTCTACTTAAAACAGAAAAATTAGCCGAGCGTCATGGTGCCTGCCTGTGGTCCCAGCTACTCGGGAAGCTGAGGCAGGAGGATTGCTTGAGACCAGGAATTTGAGGCTGCAGTGACCTATGTTGCACTCTACATAGGGTGACAGAGTGAGACTCTGTCTCAAAAAAAAAAAAAAAAAAACCAGTAAAAATATAATTTTAATGTTGTATATATAATTTATACACATATAAAGTCTTCATGTCTGATAGTCTTAAGTCTTCCAGCCTTATTCTCATTGAGAGAAATTAAAGAAAACCTAAACAAATAGCAGGAATATAACTATGCCTATGAATTGGAAAACTCATTGTTGCCAAGATATCAATTCTCAATTTTTCTTTTTTTTTGAGACAGAGTCTCACTCTTTTGCCCGGGCTAGAGTGAGTGCCGTGGCGTCAGCCTAGCTCACAGCAACCTCAAACTCCTGTGCTCAAGCGATCCTTCTGCCTCAGCCTCCCGAGTAGCTGAGACTACAGGCATGTGCCACCATGCCCGGCTAATATTTTTCTATATATTTTTAGTTGTCTGATTAATTTCTTTCTATTTTTACCAGAGACGGGGTCTCGCTCTTGCTCAGGCTGGTTTCGAACTCCTGAGCTCAAACAATCTGCCCGCCTCGGCCTCTCAGAGTGCTAGGATTACAGGCTTGAGCCACCGCGCCCGGCCCTCAATTTGATCTTTAACATGCATATAAAATCCCAACAGGTTTTACTGTATAAAGTTATAAATTTAAATTCTAAAATAAATAGGGAAATACTAGGGAGAGCCCAAGCCATTTTGAGAATCAAAGCTAAAGAAAATACATTACCAAATATTAAGAACCATTACAAAACTTTATTAATTAAGAGTACACAGCACTGGTACAAGGATAAAGAAACTAATGTAAAAAGAACAGTCCAGAAACAGCCCCACCCCACATACAATCTGCTGATTTAGGAAAAACTTGACACAGTAGTGCAGTGGGGAAAGGACAGTCTTTTCAATAACTAGTGCTGGTTCAAATGGATGGTCATATATGAAAAAAATGAATCTTGACCCCTACCTTATACCATACCAAAAAAAAACCAATTCCAGGTGGATTGTAGAGCTAAATGTAAAAGGTAAAACAGTAGGGTTTTAGGAAAAGATACAGAAGACACTTTCAAATACTTGAACTAAGCAAAAATCTATTAAACAGAACACAAAAAGCACTAAACCAAATGAAAAGGATTATCATATTAGAATATATTTTATAAACTAGAAGATATTAAAATCTTTTATTTGTCTAATAATGTCATTAAGAGAGCGGGAAAAAAACATTTACAAAACATATCAAAGAATTTACACCTCTAACATGTAAAGAACTCCTAGAAATCAATAACAAGGCTGAGACCCAAAAGAAAAATGGATAAACTCTTGAATAGGTACTTGACAAATGAGGTTATCCAGTCAATAAATAAATAAAGAGTCAAAAACTTTCTATGAAGTAGAAAAGGCATTCTACTTCATTAGTCACTAAGGAAACCAGCGAAGTGCAAATTAAAACCAACTCCATCAAAATAGTTAAAATAAGAACGAAGTATTGTCAAGAATGTGGAGCAACTAAACTTTCATATACTGTTTGTGACAGTACATACTGGTATAATCATTTTGGGGGAAAAAAAGGAACTGTGCTAGAGCTACACATATAACAATTCCTGGGAGATACAGCCAACAGAAATGTTCAACTTAGACCATTTGAAAAAATATTAGTAGTAGTAATATTTCTAATAGTCAAAAACTAGAAATTAACCAAATTCTTATCAATGGAATGGGTAAATTCTGGTCATTCATATGATTATATGTAGAATAAGGAAGTTCAATGTAACATGTTTGTAACAGTAAAAAGTTAGAAATAATCTAAATGGCAATCAATGGAAAAATAGTTTTAAAAGTTATAACACATCCACACCAAGGGATAATTTGTAGTGTTTGGGAAAAGAAGTCTCCTGATAAAATGTTCTCCATGATCACATTTTAAAATTATGTATATATGTAAATGTATACTAAAAAGTTAGGCAGAGCTGAGCATGTAGCCTCAGCTCCTTGGGAGGCTGAGGCCAGAGGATCACTTGAGCTCAGGAATTCAAGGTTGCACAGACCTATGATCACACCAGTGAACAGCTACTGCACTCAGCCTGGGCAACACAGCAAGATCACATCTCAAAAACGGGGGCGGTGGGAGTGGGGGTGGGAACAAAAGAAAGTGTGGCAGGACACAATAAACAGTTAACATTAATTACTTCTGCAAAGTGGGACTGGAAAAGGAAGAGAGCTTAGGGAAGACTTTTAAGTATCCTAATTCTGCATCCTTTGCTTTTTTATGATGGCAGGTATTTTTATTTAAAAATATTTAAGTAAGTTGAGAATAGAGAATTTAACACTAACTGCATTTAAACAGGTGTCACAAATGACACAGGTATTTATTCTGTAATACAACATATCCACTCCTGAAAACCACCCTTCTGCAAAAGCATACACTCAAAATAAGAGGATTTATGGGAAAAATAAGACTGAGACAAACCACTGGAAACCAATGCAACTTTGTAACAGGACCACTAAGGAAGAAAAAAAAAAAACAGTAACTAGGACTCAGGAAATAGATGGACATCCAAGCAGGTGGTTCAGAACTGGAGGCTACCTTAGGGGATATTTGAAATGAACAAAAACCATCAAGTGGAAATTATGCTTACAGGTGTTCTGACAATGCAGATGGAAGTGGAGCTCTGAGCCGGTGGGGCTGTCATTAAGGTAGGGACAGGAGGAAATGCAATGCTGAAAATGAACCCTTCTGGGGAACAAGTGCTAGGTGCTGGTGCTGATATTTAATTTTAATAAACTTTCTGAAAATAAACACAAAAGTGAATCCATCTGTGTGGTTGAGAGCTTTTCTCCTTCCAGCCAAAGGTTTTATTTTGGATCTTCACTACCTAGGAAAAATCACATATGAACCAACAAAATTTCCACATTATACTGACATCAACTCTCTATTCACCAATCACGAATGCAGTAGTTGATGTTAAAGAAACACATCTTGTAGCTGAACAGACTAAAATAATGATTACCTTGCAAATAACTGTTTCCTTTCAAGACATAACCTTATCTAGATCCTTAGTTTAATTTTAATTAGCCATTATAGGTTGGAACTTTAGTCAAAAGTCAAAATAAGTCATTGAGCAGAGAAGCACAAATATATACAGCAGCATATTTTCACGATACAATCATTCAAATAAATTGATGTTATTTAAATAAGATGTTTACTCTCCTTAACATTAACATTCAAGAGTAAACAAATTTCCATTAGCTGAGATCATAAACAACTCACCTGATTTCTCTGGATAAAATGAGGACTAGATTCTCCAAGGATCTTTCCCAGCTCTAAAGTATTATGTACCCAGTATGCCTAAATTTCAAAATTATACTTTTTTGATTAGCAACCCTTAGAACAATACAGGATTTTTGACCTTGTTGTAAATGAGTTCAGAGATCGAGTTCAGAAGTTTAGAAATGAACAAAAACCTACTCTGAACCTTCTCTTTGGCTGAACGTTTATCTTTTCAGCCCAATATACAAAACGGGTATGTAAGAAGGATTTTGACCTTATACTTTTTGAGAGAAAGAGAATACAGCAGGCAAATCCTTAGCTTTCTGCGATACATAAAGAACCAAACCCACAGAACTAAAAGTTTAAAACTGATGTAACCTAACACAATTACCTGATAAGAACTGAAGAACAGAAAAATTAAATAACATGCCCCAGCTAAAAAACCCTAGTTAGTGACAGAGCTACAATCAGAACAGTCAATTCCTAAAGCTTTCTCTGAAAGCACTACATTAGGTTCTTATCAATAAATAAGATTTTTCTTTACAGTCATAATATAAATTCTATTTCATGACCTTGCTAACTGTTCCTCCCTATTTGCTACAGTAGCCAGTGTTCTATCTTGAGCAATAACTTGTATAAACACATACAGCTGGAAAATGGATAAAGAAAATGTTTTCTAAAGCCATACTTAAAAGTTTTTTTTTTTCCTGCAGGGTATATAACTTTAAAATAAGCAATTTCAACAGTTCATTTCTCCATCAGCCAGGAAAGACGTCCTGAGGTTGACATACCTATCAAGGACAGTAACTACCATGGCTTCCAGTGCTTTGATGAAACCTCAAATACATGGCCTTCTGGAGCGTTTGTTGTATCCCTGGGGGATGCAGCTCTCTACAAGTTCACTGTGGCTGAATCAAGAAAGAAAGCATATGCAGATTTCTACAGAAATTATGATTCCATGAAAGATTTTGAGGAGATGAGGAAGACTGGTAACTCTCAGAGTGCCAAGTGATTCTGAAATATTAATACAAAGAATTTCTTTGAGTTGAATTACATAGAAGTTTGTCACTGACCTGTGTTCCTGAGCTATGAAACATGAATATGTGGGTTAAGGAATAGTTCCTCCTGGTAACAAACAATTAACAAATACTATGGGAAAAAAAAAGCAAGCAATTTTGAAATACTGTATTTACTAGTGGGCAGACATAATTATTAATATAACTGGTCCTATTACTTACATAAAATAGCTAGCATTCATTGGGCACCTACTACATGTTATGCATTCACAAGACCCTTAAACTCA